TACTAAAATATTAATAGTCGAAAAAAAGTTTTTACCGACCTCAAGCAGGGTTTTCATAGACAATTTGTGGAAGCATTCACCGTTTTTTTTTTAAATTGTATATTATCGATAATCATGTACTTTACAACATTTAAAAGATCATTAGAGGTGACTTCAACTGCAATGCTGGTATCTTTTGTATTTTCATTGTACATTAATGCAAGATTTTTTGATAGAAAAGTTATTGTTCGACTGACTAATGATGTTGAGGCGTATAACTCCTATATATGAACTTATTTCATTTGTGCTTTTCTTTCAGTAAATATGTGCAAATGAAAACATTTTTTTCAAAGTTTTATTATGGATATACATTGTAACTTCATTCATGATTTGCGTCTTTATGTAACAAAAGAAATATTTATATAGCCATGTTTTGATTACTCGACCTCGTCACTGACAGAAAACTCGATGGACACGTCAAATGAATGACAGGCCTTTTCTCATTAAATCTATAATGGCTTTTCATAGAAATATGTCGTAAAATTCAAATTGCTCGATATCATCGTCGGTACAAAGGTGTCACGGTTTCATAAAAACCCCGTGGGAGGAGAGTTTTCACCTGGTCAATCCGTGCCATATCTCCAAGGTTATTCTCACTATGTAATCCGACGTGCTACTTTAGTAATTTTAAAATATCTTCACAAAATCATCTTTTTTGACTAAAATTATATAGCCTCCAGCAATTTTGTTCACGTTAGGAACTAACTGAAGAGATACAGACAGTAATTGCCTATAATGAACAATAATCATTAGCTTTTATAAAAATCAAATCTGTTCCCGGGGAGAAAAAGAAAAGCCGTCTCTTTTTTATTCTGATTGGCACGATTTAAAGTTCATTCTGTCTTAATTAACTGAGGGGAAAAGGGGCTTTGGTACACGTCAGACTTTTAACAGATACATGCATCTTTTATAATAGAAAAGAAGCCACTAGTCTTCAGTCACTGCCCAGCAATTACAAGTACAATGTACATGTAAAATCAGGTATAGAGGCCACATAGCTCGCCTGTCAAGTTGTTCTTACTTGCATGCAGAAATAGCCACAATTAAAATCCCTTTTATTTGTCCAAACGCTGTCCTTTTTGTAATTTTTGTCAAGTACAAAACTGCTTTATAGCGATTTAACATGGTAAGGAATGTCAGAAAAGGGTACAGTTGCCAATGTAATGATTCAATAATAATCCTTATTCGTGAAAATATATATTTGCGCCTTTGGGATCTCTCGATCTCTCTCGGGGGGGGGGGGGGGGGGGGCATCCTTGGATGTTCACTTCATACATGTAGGTTTCGCAATGTGAATTCATAATTTCTTGAAAAGAAGATTCTAGCACTGTAAGTCATCATCTGAAAACCTTTGCCTTGCTTCCAAAGCAGTTTGACAGAGGGTTTGCGGATTTTTTTAAATACATTTTCTCACATGAAGCAATGTCTAAACTGAATGCAGTTTACTTCATCATCAATCTTCCATTTGATATTTTTCAATTATAGGTCTTCTACGTGCTTAATTAATGGCCCCTGAAATCAATTCAAGGTAATTGTTTCATGGTAAAGTCTATCTAAAGTAATGGCTTTACCAGAATGATGGTAATATTAAATTATCATTGTGGATGTTTTATCAGTTACTCTTTTTGAGTGTGGTTGTAAAAAAGATATCTTGAAATATTCAAAAGGAGATATTAAATAACAAAGCATAAGGAGATATTTAATAACAAAGCAGGGGATAAAGAGAAGGACTGTGTGTATTCTATAGAACCAGTGCGGGCTACAATGATAAGAAAAAAGTGTTTGTTACTGATCAAAATTAAATCAAGTAATATTCAAGAATATATGGTTCAAACTACATGTAAATGGTTTGAATGTCGCTAAAAAATGCGTTGTATTGTTTCGTTCCATGAAATTCATTTGAAAACATACAGTAGGCAAGCTCACCTCGAGTCTCAGCATATCAATTTTAATCAAGATGCAACATCCATGCAAGTTTGGTCTGCGTAGGATTTATAGTTCGTAGGTAAGGACCTGCTCCAAAAACTTTAACCTGTTCAATCATCCGGAAAATGTAGACCACATCCACAATCCAAAGCAATTCTGTTATTGTACATCCCCAGATGCATCATCTAATCAAGCTTAAGTTGTCACTGAGCTTATAGCTACAGCTCCAAAAATACCTATCCAGAAAATTTAGCATCCAGCATCTGAAGCAATTCTGGTAGTGTGCATCCCTTAACGCATCAGTCGTCCTTGGAAAATGGGCGAAATAGCCGTGAAAATGCCTATCGTTCGATAACTAAGAAAGTGAAAAATTATAAACTTGAGCACAATGTTCTTTGATATTTCAGTAACATTTATGTATTTAATGTTAAAATCTCCATAATTTGCATTCATCTCAGTGTTAAAAATATTCATCAATGTATTAGCATGCACACACCGAAGAAGACAAAAATGAGCATTCCTTCACTCTATAACATAATTTTTCTATACAAGTGGCTCTTTGCTCCATTTTTCTTTAAATTGCTTTTCAAAGCATATTTTCATAGTATGTTTTTGCTTAACTTCCACTGAAAAGCTCTGATTGTCTAATTTCATACATATACCAATGATTAGAATTTTGCCATAAAATACTCATATTGAATACATTTGAAGCTATAGGCATTTTACAAGCCTTGTTCGCTGATCTTTGGTAATCATAGGGCTTATATTTACTTGGAAATGGACTTGCTTCAAAAACTTGTACTTGTTAAATCATCAAGAAAATGTAAGTTATATCGAGCATCCGAAGCAAGTTTAGTAGTTTGCATCTATAAATACATCATCCATGCAAGTTTAGTCACTGAAGGGCTTATAGCTACATGCACCTGGGAATGAACCTGATCCAAAGATTTTAATCTGGTCATTCATCTGGAAAATGTAGGTCAGATCCAGTATCCAAAATATATCTGGGAGTGTACATCCATAGTTGCATCATAGCATCACCCATTTTCGGTTTAGGTTTAGTTACCACAGGGCTTTAAGATACCCGAGAATGGACTTTCTACAAAACCTTTAACCTGGTCGCTCATCGGAAATGTAGGTTCGATCCACCACCAAAAGCATGTCTGTAAGTGTGCATCCCTGAAGGCATCATCCATGCATTTTTAGAAGACAAAGAACGTCTAATTAAAATGCGTTTGGGAATTGGGCTGCTCCATAAACCCTAACCTGGTCGATCACTCATCCGGAAAATGTAGGTCACACCCTGCATCCGAAGCAAATCTGGTAGTGTGAATCCCTAGATGCATCATCCATGCAAGTTTGTTCCAGGTAGGGTTTATTCATGTAGTTACTTGGGAAACGACTTGCTGCTATAAAACTTTTAACGCGACGGCGATGTCGGGGTTATAGCATATTAAGTTCATCCCGACTTCGAGGAGATGAGCTACAAAAATACTAGTTTTAATATTTGCAAGAAATTTCAGAATGCATAGAGAAATAGACATAAAAGAAGGAATTTTACAAATACATTGCACGTACATGTAATTCTAAATGCTTAATTCGCCAAAACACCAGATCCCTCTTCAAAGTAACCATTTAATAAGCTCGGAACATGGTCAGCATGAGGCCATGTAACCTAGTGAAATCTGATCATCTTGACTGCAAAAATCAGGATAGACCGTTCTTGTTAAAATTCCTTCTCCAATTAATTGGCTACGTATCTCGATATCATTAAATAAATTTTATTTTCAAACGAATGAAATTAGTAAAAACATTGTCCATTCATTACTTAACACAGTAAAATCCAAATGAGATGGAAAAAATGACAAATACTAGAGAAATAAAAATATGTTACTTTGAACGACCATATGATACATGTAATCATCTATTCTAATGTTCGTGTACAGGAGATATGAAGCAAAATAGTTTTAGCTTTTAAAAGTCGATTCAAGAACCATTTTAAAGTAAACCATTTTACTTCTCTTATTATACTCGCGTGAAACCTACCAAAAAGTTAACTTTTTTGCCTCGATATTATCTGTACAGTGTGGCTGTTAGACGTACACACATTCATTGATAGTTGGTTTTAGACGCTTACAAATGATTCTTATTATTATTTTATTTATTTATTTTCCCCGTATGTTCTCGGTAATGCACTGTGTACGCCATTCTTCAAACGTCCTTGAAAGGTTTACTTGTAACATACTTCGGTTTGTAATTGGCCCATTTTAACTTCAGTAAACATCGAAATATCGTTAGTAAAATTGGCCAGTGTTGTAGTTTTACATTAGAAATGCACGTAATACTAAAATATTTTTTTTGATGGCCACTGAGTAATTTGACTTCAGAAAAACAAAATAAATTATTTTTACAAGAGTTTCAAAGTAGTATTTAATTTTGAGTGTAATAACCAGTGTTTTATTTTTACTGCTGTAAAAATTAAAAAGTAAAAATTAGTGGAGAAAAATAAAATAAATGTGAGAAGCATGGCCAACCGTTTTCGCCCAACTGCAAATTCCATACACCTACCGAAGTGTACTTGACACATTTTCGTAACACACGTCTTTGTAGAAATTCCTAGATGAAAATTAATTCTCCTGCAGCTTTAAGTGTTAATAGCTACATTTCCTTTTTTTTTTGGAACTGTTTGTAATTAAGACTTTGTTGGTATTAAAAGAGCCTATTTTTTTTTATCTGTAAAGTTAAATTTATGTTTATATACATTTATTACCGGTAGTTGTTTGATAATGGGTGTTTAAAACACTAATCTCATATTTCCTTTTTGATATAATACAAAAATTAATTATCTAACTACCTTACCTACTAAAGTACTTACCTTCCTAATTACTTTTAATAAAAATTTCATTTGACAATCATTATATATCATACCTCATACTTAATTACGAAAAACCTGCTTCAGTGAAGAAATACTTCATTTCAGAAAAACTCGTTATTCCAATCAAGCACACATAATATAATTAAGAGGTGACAATTACCTTGATTGGGACGCAGATGAGTACAAGCAACAAATCTGCAGACGCCAGACTGACTAGGAACATACTGGTGATGTTCCTCATTCTGGGAAACGCTAAAATGACCACGATGACAAGGGCGTTCCCGGAAATCCCCAACAGTCCAATAATGACGTAGAAAGTCACACAAGGCACAAGTTCATTTAAAGGCAACCAGTCCAAATTTTCCTGATAATCGTAAGTATAGTTATAATCCTCGAAAAAGTCTAAAAAATCTATCTTTTCCACTGCGGCGGAGTCATTCATTTTGCGGAATACGTGAAAAACAATATATATGTTTCTGTGTTCTGAGACTTAAATATAACATTCACCAGTGTGAATTTGTTCACCACAACAAAACTGCGACTAAAGAGGTTTGGCGACTATTATTTTACACGATTACATTAATAGAGAAACAATCATTTTCACCTACGTATTTTTATCGTTTTTTTTTCTAATTCATCAAAAAACAAAAGGAAAAAATAAAATCCGAACACTTTTATCCTTAAGCTTGCTTCCCCATCTTCTGTCCAGAACACAAGTGAATAAAATCCAGACCTCTCTGTTCAAAGATATCTGTACCAATAATTATCGACCAGGCGACTGCATCTTATACTAAATGAACTATAAAAAATGAAACAACAAAATTGAACGTTAATTCTTATAGAAAATCAGCAACAGCTAAGATTAGACAAATATCCAAGAGAGAGGCTTTTGAGAGACAGAGAACTCTGAGTAGTCTAAGAATTAAACTTTTGAGGCTTTCATCTGCAAGGTTACTATGTTTTAAGTTCCTTGAAATAGCTTCTTTAACACGTACAGAACTTTACATGCAAAATAAAGGGGACTCAGAGCTTTGATGTCTCTTTATATCAAAATCAACATATGCTCGATCATATATTTCAGCTGTGCATGCTTGAGACTGAAAAAAGCAAATCTACTTGAGACACACTGTAGTGAAAGAAAAATTTCAATTGCTGCTACACCCAATATTTCTAACTTGAACAAGGGACATCTGTATTTTTTATTTGAATCTGCCTATACCCCTAATCATACATTTTATGAAAAATATAAATGATCGAGCATAATGAGATTGGTTGACCATGATATCGATTCCTATATTCTCTTTTGTATTTTAAAAAAAAAGATCTATTTTTAATTTACTTGTTAAATCATTGATGTATTTATTTGATTGTGTGTTTGTTCGTTATAGGTAGTCTTATCCATTTCTTTGACCATTTCCTCCAAAATAATAAATATGACGTATATATATATATATATATATATATATATATATATATATATATATATATATATATATATATATATATATATATTACAATAACTTACAATATAACTTTTTTAAAAGAAGATATGCGAACAAGGCGAGCGAAAATGCCTATAGTGCGACAAACGGAAGGTGAAAAATTAAATTTCAGATATAACATAATTTTCTTTGATATTTTATCTAACATTAACTATACTTTACGTAAACTCTCCATAATGTGCAAAAATCTCACAAAGAGTAAAATTATTTGCCTATGAAATAGCATACACGCACTAAAGAGGGAAAAAAGTATCATTTTCTCATGCTCTGACACAATTTTTCGATATGAGTGGGTCTCCTCTCCATTTTTTTTTTTTGAAAGTTTATCCCCAAAGAAGATGGGCGTACTTGGCGTGCAATTTGCAGGAATCATGAGTACGCAACATCTGTGGTTTAAATGTCCACGATTTGGTCGACTGCCCATTAGTGTACAGACCTTACAAAGTTACGCACAAAGGAAAATGTTTAGATTTAAATTAAAATAATTTGCAAATTTGAAATATTTTAGTCTACTTATCCTAATATTTACGATAACACGGTAACACTTCATATAAATATTAACTAGATAATAGGGTATGATATATGAAATGAAGTTTCACTAGGTTTGAAAAATTGCTTTCGTTCCCCGTTCAACTGAACCAAAATTTATCTTTTGTAAAACTTTTATAAATCAGTAAATAAAATTCAACTGATAAACAACTTGATTATATAAAAAATAAAATAAAAATAAAATGCTCCATGCGAGGATCGAACCAAAAACTTCTCAACACCTTAGTGCGCTGGACTGGTAACGCATACTACTGAGCTATCATCGCTACACAAACAACATGGAATTTTAAAATGACAAAGAAGCAACGCATTTATACATTTTTTTTTGTTGTTGTTGAAAAAGTTCATTTTTTATAGTCTCTTGGACTTCTCTCCATCTTTTACACTTGTTTGTTCGTTTCTTTGAATGCAAATGCAGACAAATGTCTTTTTAAAATCGTGGAGAGATGACCCAGAGATAGCAAATTTTTAGGGAAAAAAAGTGTTTAAAAATGTAAATTTTTGTACTAAATGACTCATCTAGCCATGTTTCAAATTATTTTTAAGGAAATCAAAACACACTATAGGGAAAATATTTTCCTTTCCTATTTCATAGGAACATAATACATTGAAAGTTAAAATTTAATTTGACAATTCAATAAAGTTTTCACTTTGCAAGTGCGCCCTGATTCCTGCCGAATGCCAATCAAAAGCGCCCTCGTTCTTTGAGCAAAATATATATTTGTTGGTTAGCCAAAACAAGGAGCAAAGACCCGCTATACTTTAAAAATACACTTTTATGAAAAAATATTCGTATCTTTCAGAAAAATACTTAAGTCCATTTAGTCAAGGGTGATTTAAATGACACTATTCACCAGGAGTTGTGTAGCATAGTTGTTAGCGTGTTAGTCTCAAAGGAAAAAATTATTGCTAGGGTTCGAACCCCCACGAATCCCACATTATTTTTTTTAATTACAGAATAATTTTGTCGAGAAAATTTTCTACAGAGAAGTTCTGTTTATAATAATTTAATAAATTTTAATGATGAGAACTTTAATCTAAGTACTAAATTCACAAATTGAATATGATTTTTATATATCTGAAGATATAGGCATTCTGCACGCCTTGTTCACCCATCTCCTTTACAATTGAGTTCTTATACATACTTGAAATTTAATGAGAATTTTCCAGATGAAAAAATAGATATAGAATCGTTTTGTGTTCCGTAACAGGATATAACTTTATATTATGATTTGAGATTATAGGAGCTTTCACTAAGCCTTTAGCAAAGGCATTAAAACACTAAAAAATAAGATAAAAATCAAGATTTTACAGTCAAACAATTACCACATGCCGGAGATATTCCCTACATACCAAAAATATTGCATTGTTGTTCAGCATCTTTTTTACTAGTTTGTTTCGACAAAAAGCCTTAGCATTAACCCTTTTCATTGACCCTCTTTTTTTTTTTTTTTTTTTTTTTTGAAAAGATTAAGGCTTTGTTATGGGGGATTTGATACTTTGTTATGGGGGATTTGGTACTTTGATTTGAAAAAGAAAAGTTGCAATTATCTATAAAAAAAAAGTGTGATGAAGTCCTAAATATTGTAAGTGCACGGTCAAGTTTTAAACAATAAAATGCTTTCTTTGGTTGTTAGTATGGAAATTAATATTGCAGCCGCTGCAAAAAAAAAAAAAAGAGTACATAACCCGCGTAAGCGGGTTTTTTTAATACTTTGATTTCCAACTACTAGTATTAATCAAATTAAGTCATGGATATGAAAATCATAGATAAAGATCAGGATTATTTCATCTTGAAATTATTTATTACCTGATGAAACAAGTTTAACATATACTAGTATCTAAAATTAATAATTATGAATGTCTTAATGATTTCTGACAAAATGGACATACAAACTTTTCACTTTCTGATACCCTGGATCTTTGTTACGTGATAATGCCGATGTGCTCGTTGGGATAGACATGTATCACGTGCTGAAAATATTATCATTCTGTCATTTGCAACTGTAGTGTATTGAAAACAAAATTTACTTCCAATTTTTTTCCCAATGTCATTTTAGCACTATAATTAATATCCGGAAACTCATTACGCTTTGTGTTTATAAATATTTTACACACTCCCATATTGTGCAAGCTCCAGACAGCTCAGTATTACGTTACGCTACAACTCCATTCATTATTCGTTGGGAAAGAAGTCCCGGAGAATTGACACTGTATGGAGTTTGCATGTTGGGGAGCAGTTCATATAACAACTTTTTATAAAATAACAGGAAATGAGGAGAAATGAAAAACAAACTGAAACGTCATTACAACCATTTAGACTTAGTATTCAGAAAATAAAAAATATTCATATTTTTTATGTATGTTAACAATAAGGAATTCTTCCATTGAACCAAAGAAAAATAACGTCTCATTTCCCTATGTACACATTCTAACACAACCACAAATAGATCGGCCGCTCGAGCGGCCGATAACAACAATACAAAGGTATACTTTAATTCATTTATGATATTGTTCCCTTTTTTATTTTGATTTTCGGTGTTAAAACAAGGTACTTAAAGACTGAGTTATTTTAAAAATTGTCACTAATTTTCTGACATTATGAGAGACATTAATTGGTTTCACATTTAATCATTTATAGGAAAACACTTCATCATTTCATTTTTGAGATCTTTGATCACATAATAGTATGTCCTTGACCTTTGTCAAATAGCGATAAAAGAATCGCTAGAAGTGATATTTTCGAACAAAAATATCACTTTATATGTGCATACTTCGAAATTGCGCAGCCGAGCTTGAAGAAAATGCAATTTTCCATAGAGATATTACTAGATATTGAAATGTCTCGTAAAAGCTGTCTTTGATTTTACAGCAAAACAAGTGAAGCATTATCTCGTCGTGATTGAAAACAATGTTTAAGCATTTCTAACTTTTCTCCGCTGAACATGAATAAAATACGGCTTTAAATAAGGATAAATTGATGCAAGGTTTATATTTGCCTATAAGTCGGTCGCTTATAAGTCGGTTGTATTTTTTGAGGTTATTTTGGAGGAATTTGCCACTGACCCTCTTATGGGTCGGTGCTTTTTTTTTGGTCAGAATCTGTTTCCAATTTCAGATCAATATTCTATCGTATTTACCTATGTTTAAAAGCATGTATTGGGGTATAATATCAATAATTGAACTTTTTTTAAATCAATTTAAACCAAAATATGATCACTAATATCTTTAAGCACTTATATGTTTTATGCATATGGTAATCCCAGAGATTCCTTATTTTCATTAACGAACCTTAAGATTAAGTATCGACCTTTATAAACGATTATCGTTAAAGATGTTACAATATACAATTCTTTTTCCAGAAAAAAAAAACACCAGCTGTTTCAAGGACTAGCTTATGAGTTTTGGACCAAAATTTAACTCCCAAAAATCAAGGTACACATATGTAGGATATAACCAGTAATGCCCAATAAAAATCTTAAAAATTCACATATTTGATATTTCTATGTGTATATATAACTAACAGAGTTGCAATA